CCCAGGACCTCCTGCCAAGCCCACCTTGGCATCCTTGAAGCTCAGCAGCAGGGCATCCCGCTTGGCACCTGCCAGCTGCACACTGGCCATGGACATGACATTGCCGAAGAAGGAGAAGGAAGCCACCAATTCCAGCTTTTCCCGGTGCTCCCTGTGGACCTTTCCCTCTGGGGCAGAGGTGATGGGTATAGGTCGGGTTCCCTTGCCCCAGCCACCTCACCCCTAGACATGCGGCCAGGACAACCACCTGTGTGCTCACCTGTGCTCCTGTCATTCTTGATCGGTGCCTGGGGGGGGGGGGCAGGGAAGAGACACACTGTTGCCATGGGTGGCCCCACCTTATGGAGGGACAAGGGGGAAAGACCACCCAGGGCTGGCTCTGCTCTGACCAAACTCTCAGGGCAGTGGGGGACATAAGCCCAGGCTCTTCTGGGGACAGCCACACACGCCCCAGCCCAATGTGCAGAAAGCCACACTCAGCCTCAGTTCCCAACCTGGCCACAGGCTTCTGAGGAACCCACCCCAAGCAGGGAGCCCACAGGAGCAGAGGCTGGGCAGCAGCTGTAAGCACGCCCAGGCTGCCTGGCTTTGCCCCCACAGATGTGAAACATGGGAACACAGAACAAAGGGGGGGGGGGCATGTGCGGGGCTGGAGTGCCACAAGGGCCCTGTCATTTGGGGCAAAAGCACTGGCTGGAGGCAGACTGTTGCCATCTAATATGACCGGTAAGAAAAACAACACAAAATACGTAACTAACAGCCACTAGCGAGGATAAATGAAATAAAAATATCTGGTTAATCCAAAACAAAGCCAAGAAGAAGGAAACAGGAAGAAATAAAGGAACATGCAGAAAGACACAGAATCAGACAGTCGTTCCTGATTTTGCAAGAAATCACATCCCATGTGAACGAAAACTCCAACGAGAAAACAAAAGCCACCAGAATGATAAACAACCATTTGCTATTGAGTCACTTTAAATATCAGGAGACAGATTTTAAAAGAACATCCCATGTAACAACTTAAAATAAAGAAAGCTGGGATAGCCAGGTTACTATTGGACAAAATGGATCTTAAGGTAAAAAATATCTGAGCTAAAAAAGACAATTCAAGACAAAAAAATCAATTCAAAAGTAAAGTTTTATATATATATATAAAGTAAAACCAATATTCTAAGTTTGTCTTAAATGTACCTAATGATGCAGCTTTAAAAGAAAGATTCTTAAAAATCCTGTCAGGCAAGTGCATCACCTTGTTTATGTTTAAAATGACCTTGGGCCCTGGGTGGTCTGGCTCAGTGGATTGAGTGCCAGCCTGCAAACCAAAAATTTGCAGGTTCAATTCCCAGTCAGGGCACTTGCCTGGGTTCCAGTAGGGGGTGCACAAGAGGCAACCACACAGTGATGTTTCTTTCCCTCTCTTTCTCCCTCCCTTCCTCTCTCTCTAAAAATAAGTAAAATCTTTTTTAAAAACCCACATGCTTTAAAAATAAAATAGAATTACCTTGGATGTACTTAATTTTTGGCTCTTCCATATAAGTTTGAGAATCAGATTACTACATCTAGTGAGAAACCTTACTGCAACAAATTTATTGTTGTTTGAGATAAAGAACAGTAAGTTTATTAATAAACCTGGGAATGGCTGACTGAAATCTCTGCAATGAGACTTCCCGTTTGTAACCCTGACATGTTTTTTATTTACTGGGGACTTTTATTAATTTCAATAAAGTGGTATATGGTTTTACCTCCCAAAGGTCAAGGGGCCTTTCTTGTGCTTGGCTGCACCTTCCACAGGCCCCTGGCAGTGCGCCTGCCCACCTTCCACACAGCTTCCCCATCCTCTGCCCAACCTCAGAGCAGAGGCCAGGCGTCCTGCAGTTCAGGCTGTGCCCCATCCGAACTCCTGACTCACCCACAGACGTGTGCAGCCAAAACAGGCTGTTTCGGGACCAGGACTAACTAGTGAGCCCTCTCACCCACTCAAAGCCGTTGTCCAGCCCTCCCTCTGCATCTCCTCCTGCCCCACACTTTACCCTCCAATGTGAGAGGTGGCAAACTTTTTGGACCGAGCCAGGCAGCGGATAACTGACTTAGCAGTCATACCTAGTCTGTTGAGGATTCTTCTTTGGAATCTTTTCACAACTTTTTTAAGGGTGTGAAAAGCTTCCTTAGGGCTTGGTGGGCTGTGGCCCACGAACCCTGCTCTCATGGCTCATTCCCTTCTTGCATAAATCTGCTGCTGTCTGCTCATCTCCGAAAAGAACCTTTTCCTGCCAGTTACTGCTCCATCCCTTCCTTCCCAGTGTACAAGTCTCCTTCAGAGGCCCATCTGTGCTCACGTGACCAACTCTCCCCTTCCACTCTACATCCCAGTCCAACTTCCAACTTTCACACAGAGCGTTCCTACTGCCTGGGGCATCCTCCACTCACCAGTCGTACTGGCTAAGCCTTACGCACCACCACCACCCCCAAAGAAAAAGAAAAAGCTGCCTCTTGCAAGAAGTCTTCCTGGATCAGCGCTCACCCCTCCAGCAACAAAAGCACCCCTTGATTTCTTCTACTGAGGAGCTCATTTCACTTCACTTAAATTGCGGCCAACAGTCTGTCCCCATCCTAAATCCAGCCTGCTCCTTTTGCCACAATGTTCTCTCCGATAATCTCCTGGTCAGCCAGCTGGGAATACCTTGCCTCCTTCATAATCTGTTTCCGCCACTGCACTGGCTACAATCTACAAGTGTGCTTACAGGTGTGTCTTTATTTAGGGGAACTTCCCCTAGCCCGTTTTTTCAGATTTGTTTACCATGGTACCCCTACTACCTAGCCCACAGCAAGTATTCATATCATTTAATCAGAAAAACAAAAAAGCAAACACGATGCACGAGAGAAGGGCTCATGCCCACAGCAGCGCCGGGGACAGGGGTGCAGAGTCACGCTCGGGCGCTGCAGTCCAGCGGGCTTCTGGTTCTGCACCAGAGGGAGATGGAGGGGCGGACGCCGGCGGGGCAGGGGCCTACCTCGGCGTCGCGGTTCAAGCGGTACACGTAGAGCTGCGAGGTCCCGGCCACCACGAGGTTGCGCTCACTGTTGTTGAAGAAGTTGCAGTACATGGAGAACTCGAGCCCGGTGGGCGGGTGCGCCTGCTTGTACACGGCGTACATGGCGCCGAGCCCGGGCTGCGCGGGGCCAAAGGCAACAAAGTGAGGGAGTGCCAATGACCGCTGCCCACCTGGCAGTTTGAGCCGGCGCGCGGGGACCGGGACGCCGGTGAACACGGTCCGGCGGCGAACCCGGTCCAGCGGTGAACGCAGTCCGACGCGGCCCGGAAACTGAGCGTTAAGGTTCCGGGTTCGTGCGCCTGCGCATTGGCGCCGCGGTGGAGCCTCTGGCTGGCGGGATGACAGCCGCAGATAGCCTGGAAGCCTCGCCGCTCGGCCTCACGCTCCGCGTCTAGAGCTCCGAAATCCCGAGCTCGCCCGAATTCCCGGATCCCACTGAGGCGGAGCGCGGCGGGGATGCGAAACTCAGGGCTGGCTGGGTCCCCTGCCTGACCCAGAGTGGGGTCAGCGTGCAGCCTCTCCCCGCAAGAAGAGGCGAGTCCCCTCTTCCAAGGCCTGGTGCGTGATGCCGGACCAGAAGCTTGGCCCCGGGGTGAGCTAGGCGAGCCTCAGACTCGTGGGGCCAGGAAGGCAGGCACGCCCCGGCAGGCGCCCGGGTGTGGAGGAGGCCCGACCAGCCCTGGGCTGGGGAAGCTTTCCGGATGCATCCCGCGTGCTGCCTCTGCTCCGCGTTCCCGCCTCGGAGCGACCCCACCACCGTCACCATCACTGCCTGGGCACTGAGGGCGCACAGTCCTTGGCGTCTGGGGACACGTGTTTGCCAGTCTACAAGCCCACACCCTTCTGCGAATTCCTCTCCCTAGCGCAGCGATTGTCTCCTGATCTCGCTGTCCCCAGGCCTAGCACAGCCGCCCACTCCCAGGATCCTAGAACCGGGACTTCACTCAGCTGAGACTTCCCCTCGGTAGGGACTCACCCCAGATACACCGGGACAGGCCTGGGTCTTAGAGACAGAATCATAAGAAAGAAAACAAGCAGCCCTGGCTGTTGTGGCTTAGTGGATTGAGCACTGACTTGCAAAATGAAAAGTTGCCAGTTCAGTTTCCAGTGGTGGCACAGGCCTGGGTTTCAGGCCAGGTGCCCAGTTGGGAGCCCAGGACAGACAACAAATGGATGTTTCTCTCACTCCTCAATGTCTCTCTTCCTGTTTTCTTCCTCTTTTCCCCTGTCTAAAAGTAATAAAGCAAGTGTAGTGACACTTGAGAAAATGGTACATAAATACGTGTGCGTTGCGTGCAAGTCAGGCCGATGCCTCGGGCTGGCAACACGGCTCTGAGTCAGGGCCATGGAGCAGAGCACAAAGGGGCCACTTGGATGCCCAGGCAAGCGTGTGACTCCAGGCCCCTTCACAAGTCACAGGTCCAGAAGCCAGGCCCAGGAGGGGGTGCTGGCAGAGGCAGCACAGGCGGAACACTAATTATCAGCATCTTGGCCACGAAGACAGTCAGGGCACCAGTGATAGCTGAGTAAGTCCATGGCCACAGGACTGCCAGACTGGAGCCCAGCACCTGGCAGGAGCCCCAACAGTTAACGAGCACTGGTATGGGACGGGGGTGGCCCCTGCACGGAGCTGGAAACCCTGCAGGAGCAGGACCGGGGAGGGTAGCACAGGTAGGGTGCGGCTCCAGCCTAGGCTGAGGGGCTGGCGGCCCCTGGGCTGGCATGGGGTGGGGGTGTGGCCAAGGTGGGCCTTCCTGGTGGGTCCTTTTCCTCCATCGGTGGAGGAAGGTCTGAGGCTGGGGTGCACAGCTACGTTGGCTCCGCACGAGGTCCCCAGGCGCTGCCCCCACTCCCCAGCGTTTCTTGATGGAGACCCTTCCCTCCCAGCAGGAACAGCAGGCAGGGCAACAAGGGCAGGAATGCCTTTATTGAATCGGAGTTGCCGGGGCCTGGGGGAGGGAGACTCTCAAAAGGCCTGGGACACTCTGGGTACCAGCCTGTGGGTTCCGGTCCAAGGTGCTGAGATGGCGCAGGGCAGGAGCCAGGCTCCGGGTCCCAGAAGCAGAGGAGAGGCGTCAGAGGATGATGTTGTCCTCATAGAGAGACAGCAACAGCAGGACCGCCCAGCCGCCCAGCAGGCCCACGTTGTGTAGCAGGAAGAGGAGCCAGGGCCGCCGGTCCCTCACGCGCAGCATGGCCGGGAGCTGAGGAGGTGGCGTCGCGTCAGCGGACAGCCGGGCGCTCAGCTCCCCGCCTGGGCAGTCCCCTCCCCGCCCTCCTCGCCCTAACCATGTCGCAGAGCGCCACGTAGAGGAACAGGCCAATGGCTACCGCCAGGATCCAGGACTCCCTCTCCTCGCTGACGCCCACCGCGAGTGCGACGTAGAGGCCGGCGAAGGCGGTGAGCGCGGAGGCCAAGTTCAGCAGCAGCGCCCGGGGCGCCGACAGGCCGGCGTGCAGCAAGGCCGCGAAGTCCCCTGGGGCGGCAGGTGGGGGTCAGGCGAACAGCCAGAGTCTGGGCAGGTCCTGCCCCCGCCCTGGCCACCACTCCCTCCACCGCAGGCTCTGCCACTCCTGGCTCACCCAGCTCGTGCGGCACCTCGTGGCAGAACACTGCCAGCGAGGTGGCCAGCCCAGTCTTCCAGGAGGAGGCGAAGGCAGCACCCAAGGCCAGCCCATCCGCGAAGTTGTGCAGGCCGTCACCCAGTGTGATCATGTAGGGCAGCAGCCTCAGTTCTGCGGGTGCAGCAGGCATGAGCTGGCGTCGGCCTGGCCACCACAAAACCACACGCTCAACCCTTCTGGGGCCTCCCCAGGGCTTACCTGGGTTCAGTCTCCGGGGCCCGGGGTTTAGCAGCTCAGGGCTCTCCTCTGCCACCTGGTGTGGAGATGGGGATATGGTACACTCGGATGAGCCTCTGAACAGGCAGGGCTGGGGCCCCAGAACGTCCCCGGAGGCTGGGGGCCCTCATGGAAGGGGCTGTGTGACACCTGGTGGGGACACCTGGGCAGGGAGGCTCACCAGGTCTACTCGGGAGTCCTCGTGGGGCTGCTTGGGCTGCCGAAGCTCTCTGGGCGCCAGCTGCAGTGATATGCCGTGGCTGTGGCCACTGTGACCAGTGTGGCTGCAAGGTTTGTCCTTCTGGTCCTACCAGAACAACAACTCAGGGCCTGCTTCACCTCCTGCCCATCTACCTACCCTGCCCGGTCCCCACAAGTCTGACCTCTGGGTCCAGGGGCAGCAAGAGGTCGCAGAGTTTTTCGAACAGAAAGAAGATGTAGAGGCCTCCTATCGCGACCAGGAGGCGCCAGATGGTCTGTGGGCTGTGGCTGTCCCCGTCCCCATCGTGCCCGCCATGCTGGTGCAGCCCCAGGACCTGGGTGGAGGAGGGGGCACTGGGCTGGCTGCCTCAGGGTGTCCCACCCACAGATGGAAAAGAGGGGTTGGAGTTGGGGGAAGGGTCTCGGGAGGGTGGGCCTGGCAGGAGAACCAGGAGGGGGAGTCCCTGGTGTGGGGGAGAGAGGGCCCTGGCAGGCTGGGGCCGACCTTAGGCGTCAAGTGAAGGAAGGCGTCTCCAGTGAGAGCACCAACGGCCATGCCCAGGAAGGTCTGGATGACGTAGTGAGCAGCCTCGCTGCAGCCGGAGCAGACTAGCAGCAGGAGGCCGAAGACCGAGCAGAGGCCGATGAGCAGTGTGGCCAGGGAGCCGTACAGGTACTCTGGAGCGGGAACGGGGCAAGGAGGCCCAGCTGAGAGCTTGCCCTTGGCCTTCAGAGGGGAGGCCGGGGAGGGCGCCCAGGGAGGAGCGAGAGCTCAGCAGGGCTGCAGGTGATCAGGTGCCGGCCAGGCCTCAGAGGTCCATCCTCCTCCCATCCAGGCTGCCCCCACATTCTCCATCCCTTCCTGCCAGCCTGGCACCCACGCCTCCTCCCTGGGAAGCCCCACCACCCTGTGGCCGGCACCCCTAGGCACAGCCAGGAAGGCAGGCTGGGGGGAGGGGCACTCACTCTGTGCCTGACTGAGCTGGTCTTGGGCCGGGCCACTGGGCTGGAGGCTGCAGGCCCCACTCAGCTGCTGCTGGAGCAGGGCAGGGCTCAGCCGGGCCCAGGCGTCTGGAGCCACCCCAGTCTGCTCAGACAGCCCATACACAGCCATCACGTCCCCGGCACTCAGGCACACCTGGGAGGTGGCAGCACAAGGCTGGTCAGGGACCAGGCAGGCCCACAGGCCCCACCTCTCCTCAGGATGAAGGCGCCCCAGCTGCTCACCCACCGTGTCCCACACACTGGAGCTGCTGTTCGGGATGGCGAGGTCGGCCCTCTTTCCCAGATGATGGTGGTGATGATAGAGACTGTGGTCACCCTCGGCCACTCCGCCCACCCCCAGGTGCTGCATCAAGGCTGCCAGCTCTGGCAGGGAGGACAGAACCAGCATTGGTGGGCCGCCCCCCAACTCTGTGCCCCACTCAGCGGCCTACCCAGGCCTCACCGTCCAGTGTGATGTTGGGAGAGTCACTGTGGTGCTGCCGGAACACGAAGTCCACAAAGTACTGGGGGGTCGGCAGCGCGTGGAAGCAGGACCCATTTCTGACGTGGTCCAGCAGGGCAGCCAGCACGAAGCCGGGGCTGCCGGGAGCGCCAGCTCCCGCCGCCTCATCCAGCAGCTGAGGCAGGTCCACGCAGGCCTGGAGTGGGGTGGGGTGGGGGCTGGGCCTCAGCTTCACCTCCAGCGTGGTCCCTCCTGGCCTGCAGCCCTGCTACCACCCTTAGTGCCCCCAAGATGCCAGGGGCCCCAGGATCTGGCCCAGAGTGGCCTCCTCGGAGCACCACCCCTTCCTGCTCACCTAAGACCCCTCCCCTCCCCTCCCCGGGGCCACAGGCCTCCGAACCCCGTGGTTCACCTGGTCCTGGCTGCCACCCTGTGGCCCCAGGAGCCTCTCAGCCCCTGTCTCCCAGTAAGGACACAAAGGCACTTCTAGGGCTCCTGACGTCTCTGCCCAGCCCGGGGGTCAACACACATGCAACGCCCCTGCCGATCAGGCCCGCCCCAGAGTGTCCCCAGACTCCCCCAGGTACCCAGCAAAGTTGTCGGACTGTTCTCCCCACCACGACCAGGGCCAACCCCCTGAACAGGTGCCCCCCTTAGTCCCCCTCACCCTCCCTGGCCTGTTTGCCTGCTTGGGCCCTCACCTCCTCTGTGGGGGGCTGGCGGGTGGTCTGGACCTGAATCCTCCGGAGCAGCCTGCTCAGGCCTGGGATCAGGGCCTTGGGGCCCTCGAGCAAGGCCAGGAGGCGGTCAGCGCGGGAGGCCCAGAGGCCGGCCTGGACATCCTCACACGTGCCCTCGGGGTCGCTGAGGTAGAGGGCAGCAGCCGCACTGAGGCGGGCGATGTGCGCGGGCTGCAGGGCCGGCCCCAGGCTCGGCCCCGGCTCCTCAGGCCTGCCCAGGGCCAGGAGGTCATCCACAGACAGGCACTGCGGGCACAGACAGGTGAGCGGGGCCCAGCCCTGGTCCCGAACTACTGCCCTTCTCCAGGGCTACACCCCTGTGTCAGCAGGTCCCACGCACTCCCCTTGATTATAGGGGTGCATGCACACAGGGGTCCCAGGCAGTGCCCCGCCTTTTCGACGGCTTCTCCCTGGATGCACTTCCCGGGGGTCGACAGGGGAGGTGGCCCTGGCTTCCTGGACCTGTGGGTCCCCATCATGGCACCCCCACCCCAGGGCGGAGAAGGGTGGGCTTGGGGCTGCAGGCAGGGCCACGGCACTGGGCCACTCGGCCTCTGCCCGCTCCCTGGAGTTTGCCCAGGCCTTTTGCTGCCAGCCCTTGGGGTGGAGCAGGCAGGGTTGGGCCCTACGGGAGACCCGTCGGGTGGGGCACTCACCTTTCCACACGGCCCTGAGGTGCAGTGCACACGGGCCGCTAGTGTATTTAACAGGCCGCCCAGAGCCGCGTAGTCCAGAGCACCCTGGCCTGAAGACAGCAAAGTCAGCAGGTGAGTGGGCTGGGCCGACGTCACGGTCACCATCAGCACCGCCAGCAGCAGCCCCGGCTCATGCCAGGCCAAGACTGCCATGTTCGGGCCACAGACGCTCGGTGCTCCACAGGGGAAGCCTGGAGAGTAGGGTGTCACACGAGGGACGAGAGGGCTGCCTGGGCCAGACTGGGGCCAGACTGGGGCCTGACTGGGGCCTGACTGGGGCCTGACTGGGGCCAGGCGCAGGATCTCTCCCAAGTATTTCCTGCAGGGCTCTGTGATTGGCTGTCAGCAGAGTGCAGGTTAACCATTCCAGGGGCAGGTCCTCCCTGAAACAAGGAGCCGCTGCTTGCGGGCTGAGAACTGCCTGGGGTTGGGATCTTCCCCAGGTATTTCCTGGCCATCGGAAGGGAGGCGAGCACCTGGTGCAGCATTCCAGTCCCAGATCCTCTCCCAAGCCAGGAGCTACGCCTGGAGGGGCGGAGGGGGGGAGGGGGGCTGGGTCCGTCCCTTGGACTGCGAGGCTCCCACATCCACCTGCCTGTCTGCCCCCAAGGGCCTGGGGCAGGGCTGCATGGATACCACCCCCGTCCTAGGTGGGGCCTACCCCTGACATTGCCCCTGAGGGCCCCCCTTCACCCCCTCCCAGGGGTCCTCCCAGGCTTAGGCACCCCAGGGCCTCTGGGCCCATCCTTCTGGGCCCAGGGCTGTGGTCTCCCTGTTGGGGGTGGGCTGGAGCCTGTGGAACCAGGAACCTGTCTGGCTGAGTCACACTCTCCCTCCCCAGACCCTCCTGGGGAAATTCCTCACAGGGAACCTACATTGTCTCCACTTTAGCACCTGGGAGGGGCTCTTGGGTGTGACTCCCTGCCCCACCCCTCTCCGGGGCTCTTACTCAGGCCTTTGATCTCTTCCCCACCTTATCTCAGCCTACTCTGCACAGCCACAGTGGAGCTGGCACCTGGGGGAGGGGCAGGTTTGCCTTCTGGGGGGGCCTCTGGGCGGCCCCTCTGTTCAGCTGACCCCTGACCCTGAGCCCTTCGGAGTGTGGTTGGGGTGGGGCAGAAGCTGCAGGGCAGCCAGGATCCCAGGTCCAGGAGTCTGTCGCCAGCGCTCTGTGTCGCCCAGGGGCAGGGCTTCAGGCCAAGGACAGCGTCTGGGCTGAGGGAAGCACCTCACCCTCACCCTCACCCACACTCAGGGGCTGGACAGCACCACAGGGGGACATCTGTGGGCAGGGGAGGGGACAGAAAGAGTCTGGAGGGCTTCAGGCTCCACTTTTCCAAGTGGTCCCTGGACGTCTGGGTCAGCAAGGAGGGGAGCTGGGTTCGAGCTCCACTCACATGGTTCTGAGGTTGTGCCCAAACTGACCTTTTCCCATCACCCTCTGCTCCAGAATCCACTGGGCCAGCTGAAGCCCCCGGGCCAGGCTGCACCTCAGGCCACCCGCCTCCTGCTCCTGCAAGCTCAGGGGCCCATTAGCTTCTAAGCAAGGTCTCGTCCCAGCCTTCCCTCCCTGCTGGCACCCACTTATTCCCGCCGCTGTTGCCCTGGCTCCTCTACCTCATGCAGATCGGGGTGGAAAGTGTCACCAGTGGTCCCTGGGCCTGGTGCTCTGCTACCCAGGAGGTGCCAAGGCCCCTCCTTCATCCCCAAGCCCCTCCAGCATCACCCTGTCATCTAATAAACTCATTGTCATCACTCCTGTCTTCAAACGCACCCCAAGCCCACAGCAGGCCACATGTGGACAAGCTGAACGTCCCCCCACCGAGGAATGGGAGAGTGCCACGTGGGCCGGACGCACCGCGGAACAGGAGTCAGCCTTAGAAGAAGGGGAACGATGCTGAGTGAAGTGAACCCTCCCTGCCCCTCCCAGCAGGCTCCCTCGGAGACCTTTGACCCTGGCTGTATCTCTGCCTCACTGGCCCTTGGGGGAGGGGCACGCCCCGGGGAGCCAGCGGACACACTACGGGACTCTGGTCAGCTTCGCCTTCTGGAGGGGGCCACCCACCTGGCTCAATGACCCCCAGACCCCTGACTCAGCCCCGTGGAGACCGATGGGGTGGGGCAGAAGGTCCGCGGAGGCAGGGAGACCCGGCCCAAGGACTTTGTCCCCAGTGTCCTGTGGCGCCCCAGGCAGGGCGCCAGGCCAAGGGCAGTGTCCTGTGTCTGCGGTCAGGTGTCAGGCGCCACTTCCTTCTGCCCACCTCACCCACATACAAAGTGAGATTTGCCCAGCCCTGGCCAGTGTGGCTCCGTCGGAGCAGTTGCCCAAAATGGAAAGGTTGTGAGTTCGATTCCTGGTCAGGGCGTGTACAAGAGGCAATCAATTGTTGCTTCTCTCTCACACGTCATATTAATCTCTCTCTCTTCCTCTCTCTAAAAGCAATTAAAAATGTCCTCGGGTAAGGATTAATTTTTTTAAAGTTTTATTTATTCATTCATTCATTCATTCATTCATTCATTCATCTTAACCCCTTGTCACACCGCCGATTGAAGCAAAACAGCAGGACACGCTGCCGTTTCACCCAAAAGCCCTTTTTACTTCGCCCTTTCTCGACGGCTCAGTGGGTCATGAGAGGTAGGCCCAATGAATGCTTTTCAAAAGGGTAAAAAGTTTTTTAAGTGGTCTTGATGTTGGAAAACTTTTAGTTTTGTGTAATAGCTAATAAGCTGCCCTGGCTGGTACAGCTCAGTGGATTCAGTGCTGGCTTGTGAACCAAAGGGTCACTGGTTCGATTCCCAGTCAGAGCACATGCCTGGGTTGCAGGCCAGGTCCCCAGCAGGGGGTGTGGGAGAGGCAACCACACAGTGATGTTTCCCTCTCCCCTTCTTCTCTCTCTAAAAATAAATAAATAAATAAAATATTTTAAAAGAAATAATAGCTAATAAGCTTAGCAATCAATGTGTGTAAAAACTATCATTGGAGGAACTGAAGGTCTGACCCGCCCTGACTCCAGGAGACCACAAGCAGTTCCGCTTTTGTGCCTCAGGAGGACGGCAAGCAATTCGAGATGGTGCCTGAACTATTGTGCTCCAGGGGGCGGTGCCCAGGAGGAAGAAGAAAGAATGCTTCCGCTTTTATCTGGTTAAATGTTTCCTTCAAATCCAAAACCCTCCCCTACACTTTTCTTCTCCTTGTAAAAAGGGCTGGTTTAAAATGGACTTTGAGCCGGTCTGTTAGGGGCAAACCCACCATTTTCTCAGATTGCTGGCCATCCGAGTGAAGCGCCCATAAAGATCTGATCCCTGTCTCTGTTGGTTGAGTCTGGTAGGTGACAGGCAGCAGGAACGCCCGGCTTTCCCGGTTTCGTGCACCGATGACTCCACACGGAGACCAATCTGGGCCCCTCTTTGGAAGTCCGGGTATTTGGTGGGGAGTCCCATTGGCCGCCTGGACTGGGGTGAAGGTCTGGAGACTCCCTAGCAGCTGCCAAGCCATCTCACTTGGGGACTCTCTAGCTCTGGGCACTTCCTGTCGCCTTCGCATTTGATCGAATCATTGTGCTTTTTAGTTCAGGTTGCAATCCCAGTTAAGTCAGTAAGTCAGGCGCTGACCAAAAAGAAAGTGGTTTTGACTGTAATTCTGTTTGGCTCATGCTTTGCATCATCTGGACTCAGGAGAGTGCGGGCCGCTGCCTCTGTCGTAACTAGAGTTGTCCTGCCAGAGATCGGAGAAACGGGGCAAAATGCTTTTCTTAGAAATTTTCACAAGTTGACACAGTCATGATGCAGGATTGAAAGGAAATAGATGAACGGTCCAGAGAAAAGAGTTTGCCTGGAAAAGGCAGCAGAAGCTGGGAGGAGAGGGCCCAGCAAGGTCTGGACATCACGGCTGCTGTGAGCGTGGTCAGGGTTCCCACGTCCCCGCCAGCCCTGGAGTGACGGGGGGGTCTTCCTCCTTACTCGGCTGAGGGAACCTGGAAAGTGAGCCCAAACTGGTCTCACTGTCTCGAACCTGTCAAGGAACCAAATTGGGTGGAGGACGAGCCCCTACGGGGCAGGGCAGTGCCCTGTGTGAAAACTCCCAGTGGCAGTGGGCCAGCCCGCTGGGCGTTACTAGGCACATGCTCTGTTTCAATGTCAGGTCTGTTAAACCGAAAACACTCCGAAGGGACCAGAGTGCTTCTCTGCAGAATAGACGAAGGAGTGCGCCCAGGTTTTTGAGCCCCTGGAGGCACACCTGGCTTCTGCACCGGCCCTGGGGCTTCCAACCCCACTGAAGCCTTCAATTATACATTTGAGAAAGGCAGGAAATTGCCCCAGGTGTCTCCACCCACACGCTCAGCCACATTTCGCAACCCATCGCATATCTGTCCAGGAAACGAGATCACACTATCCAGGCATGGCCAGGCTCCTTGAGGGCCGTAACCGCCGACTGTGAGCTCTTGCGGGGAGCTGAGAAGTTTTCCTTGGGATGGGCCTATGCCAGTTACATGCCCCAGCAACTGCTGAGCCTCCTGGAACAGCAAGGAAATATGAGGCTCACTGCTGGGAGAAGGGGCAGGCACCAAACCCTCTTTCTGGACAATTTCAATGTCTCCCTCAAAACTAAGTCAGCCCTGGCTGGTGTGGCTCCGTGGATTGAGCACGGGCCTGCAAACCAAGCATTTGCCGTTCAATTCCGAGTCGGGGCACATGCCTGGGCTGCACGCCAGTTCCCAGCAGGGGACTCATGAGAGGCAACCACACACTGATATTTCTCTCCCTCTCTCTTTCCCTTCCCCTCTAAAGATAAATAAAATCTTTAAAACAACAACAACAAAACTGCAGGGTAGATCCCACCTCTCTTCTCCCGGAGCCTGACTCAGCTGCACTGATGTGTGATCGTGCTGACTGCGAAGCGCCTTCTAGCAGAACTGATGTACGGGACCGTCCTGTAGGAGAGGCAGCCTGGACTCTCCATGCAGACAGAAGCAGTTGTACAGACAAGGGGAGCAGAGGCCGGGTGTGCCGTTGTGACTCTTGGAGAAGCAGAGGCCTTGGCCTTGGTGCCCGGAGCTTCTGCCCAGAAAGCTGAACTGAGTGCACTGATGAGGGCACTGGGATTGCTGGAGGAAGAGAGTGACTAAGCCCTGGCTGGGGTGGCTCAGTGCCCTGAATGCCAGCCTGCAAACCAAAGGGTCACTGGTTCGATTCCCAGTCAGGGGACACCTGGGTCCCCAGTAGGGGGTGCACAAGAGGCAGACACACATTGATGTTTCTTTCCCTCCCATCCCGTCTAAAAACAACCATATTCACTACTTTTTGTTTAACCCCATATTACAGAGAACTTGTTCCTTTCAAATGAGATGAAAATATTTAGGTATATTTAACAAAAACGCTCTGAACACATCTGACTTTTGTCTTGCAGGAGGAACTTATGTCGAACAACTTCCACTACATGTCTTATAGGTGTTTGTACTCCCCTGGAAAGCCTCTGAAGTTATACTTTGTTTCAGTGTATCAACAACAAAACAACTTACTCTGATACTTATAATTGGGGACCTGTGGTAACTCTGAAGGACAGGAAAATGTTGCCTAAAAGTAACTAATGCAGGTGTCGGGAGCCGGCCAGCAACCGTCCCCTGGCAAGGCCGGGACGGTTGAGATGCATCTGCAAGGCTGTCTGTCTGTCTCTCCTTACAAGTCTGTTGTGGTGACCAAAAGGTGGTGGGATTGTTAGACACCTGTATTTCAGGTTCATTGATTCTCATAATTCCAATGAAGTTATACAAAATAATTCCTTGACTAGAGAACAAAGTTCCCTCTAATGAAATAGCCCCTGAATGTCTAAAAGTTGGAGTAACAGCCCCTCCTTTACCTTGAACAGGAATATATATTAATTAGAATTTAGCAGGCAAAGAAACAGGAGAAGCTTGTTAGATACTATAAACTAAGCACAATTACCAAAGAGTCAGAGTCCATGGTACATAGAGAAACATTTTGGACAGAAAGATAGATTGCTAAGTTAGACATCACAAAGGCTTATAATGAATTTCCTAACCTCTGCTCGGTCTAGTGTACCTTTTTGCCCCATGTTAAATTCTAAGACCTTTAATAAACAATAAGACATTCAAACTCTGTACATAGAGCTATTTCAAATTGTCTGATTAATGGCTCTCCTGGTCAAAACAACTTTTGTTTAACATAACTGAAACTATGGAAATTCTTGTACTTTTCCTGGTTATCTCTGTATTGTTTTTTCTGCTTAACTGATCATGCTATGCACCTGTTGCTTTAATGTTATATAACGATCTCTATAAAAATAAAACCTAAATCAAACTCTATGAGTCCACTCAGACCCACAGAGGCTGGCTGTTCTCTGGCATCCAATCGGGCATCTGACTCTTCCTCCGCCTGCGCCGTCCATCCTTCGGGGACCCTGAGCCCTGCCGAGGCTGGACCCCGGCATGCAAGGACTAGGGGAGTAAGGCACAAACACACAAAAAGTCACCAATGTAGCCCCAGCTGGAGACAGTGCAACTTTTGTCAATTGTGCAAAGAACTGTTTTTGTGCTTTATCAGCTTGTTGCTGCCTACATGCCCCCTTATGTGCATCTGCAATGAAGTGTATTTTTAAAAAATATTTGTTTTTAGAGAGAGGGGACAGGAAGGAGAGAGGGAGAAAAACATCGATGTGTGGTTGCCTCTCATGTGTCCCCCACTGGGGACCTGGCCCACAACCAGGCATGTGCCCTGACTGGGAATTGAACCAGCAACCTCCTGCTTCACAGGCCCGTGCTCAATCCACTGAGCCACACCAGCCTGGGGCTGATGAAATGTATTTCTAAGCCCCCTACCAGATTGTCTAATATGTGCTCAGCAGCAAAATGACTGTTTCCACGTGAAAGTGATCTCATAAAAATGAGATGGTTTAAACTAACAGTGGGGAATGATGGGCAACTCCAGAGTTGGAAAATTATTGTTCAGGTGATCACTAAGAAGCTTGATAATCAATGCAGGCAAAAAGCTAGTGTTTGGGGAACTGAGGGTGCGACCCACCCGGACTCCAGGAGACCACAAGCAGCCCCACCTTTGTGCCTCAGGAGGACGGCAAGCAGTTCGGGATGGAATCGGAGGCACTGGGCTCCAGGGGGTGCTGCCCACCGCCCAGGACACAGATGAAGATGACTGCCCAGTGTGGGGGCAACTTTGCCTGCAAGGTCCCCCACTCCTGCCCCGTCCACCGCAGATGAAAGGGAAACTACCAAGACCATATCTCTTTAGGGCGGAGAGGTGTCCGATCCCTCAAAGGGGAAGGGCCAAGAGCCCCTTCCTCAAGGGGCTTTTATTGGGTTCGTTTGCACTAGAACACAGGTAGGGATCAAACAGATATCATTCAAAGAACTATGAGGGCTTATTCTCAGGGTCAGATAGCTAAAGAGCCGTAAAACTTTGAGAAACAAACTTCTTGCTTGGACCCTTATCATTTAAATGAGAGCATTCTAAACAAAGCTGGTTTCACAGGATTTAACATATTCATTCTTAGACTTGATCACCCTGGGGACCCTGACTGTTCCAGCACAGGGCTGCACCACCTTCCCCATTATAGGTTTTTTGGTTAAGTGGATTAGAGCCAGGAAGCACTTCTCCCAGACAGAAATGGGGATTCAGGCTACGTCAGAATA